AGACAGTAATATCATCTACTGACAGAAATCCCAAGGCCTTGGTGACTCAAAGCAAGGATACACATGGTRCCTCAAGCAGTATTACAGTTCTTCTAGCAATGATCATAGAAGTAAAGTTTAGGGTGGCTTTGCAGCTCAGTCCTGTAATAAAGCATTTTCATTAGGAATCATATGAAACTTCAGGCTTTGGATGGAAGATTGGCTCAAAGAAGTCAARAAGTTTGTTCTCCTTAAAAATGAAATCTACTTTTTCAGAGGGAATGACTCCAACACTTCCAATTGTATATAATGAATAACACTTAAAATCAATTCTTCATCAATAGATTGAAAATTGAGGCAAGGTATTTTCAGAGTTTTCATTTAACAAAGGGCAATACTGGACTGCCTTTTGGTATCATTCTTTGTTCTCAGTTATTAACATAAACCACTACAGGTTCTTTTTTCTCTCATGCAGGATAATGGTACCAGCGTAGATGTGTGTATTATTGTCTCATGAATAATCAATCAAAAAATCTGTTATGTCCCTTCACAGACAAAGTACATTAAAGATAAAAAAAGAGGCTTTATCCCATGTGTGTTCTCAAAAAAGTTAAGTAAATTTCCTACCAGGTTCTACATTCCAGGGGGAAGCATCTCCTATTTGTGTTTGTGTGCATRTGTTTGTGCTTATGTGTGTCAGGGCTGGCTGGATGAAGGAGAAACTTGGAATAGATCATACTTTTAAAAGCCAAGTGATCTTTACATTATTGAAGCTTGTTGTCATGCATGTACTATCCAATATAAATTATGAATTGCCCTTTTCTGAAGCATCAGGTCATCACTGTTCTTATGTGCTCACACATTAATGTGCAAGATCATCCTGAGTGATCTGAAGGCATCAGGCTTGCTCTCCTAGGTGGCCTTTTCCTCCTGTATCAYACAGGATGTGACAGCAAAACTGCTTATAAAAGTTAGGCAGAAAGAACACATGGGCACATCAGTAGCAGCACAGGTATAGAGACAGCTTCCAAAATGGATTTTTTGCAGCAGTCAGAGACCAAGGTAATTATGGCACATCTCTGGCATTTATGACCACAGAAGGGAAGGCAGGAGAATCTTCTTAGCAGAGCATACCAGAGGCCAAGTTTCTTACATWTGTAACAAAGTAGTGCTCTTTCAGACTGCCTCAACTTGTTTGTTTAAAAAAATTATATACCAAAAAGCTTCAAGTATTATACAGTTATCTGCATTGTTTAAGTGTGATATGCTATAGTTATTTTTCCCTTAGGAAACTGCAAAATATTCAGGATCACAAAATAGTTGTTCAGCTGTGTTGATCTAACTATGCTATTCTACACAGGAATACCAGGCTTAGCAGATCCTAGGCCAGTGAGCACGGCAACGTACAGGCAGTTTGAGAGGCCAGGCTTACAATGCTTTGGTTCCATGAGGTTGCTGGAGGCAAAATAACTTTTCTTAGACCTACTTGAGAAAATTAATGGAAGTGGAAGAAAAAACACGGGGTCTATTTTTGCTACTTTCTTCCATATCTGAAACGTAATTTGCACTTTTTCCTTTTTGATCTCTTGGCTTGCCAGGTTAGATATGACTGGTCTAATATCAGTTTATCTTTATTAGCAACATGAATCTTGCTACTAGAGTGTCTTYTGAATTACTATCAACAGAAGGAGTAACTGTTATTCATTTAGATCTTAAGAAAAATGGCTAAGCAGCCAAGCCAGACCTTCACTGTTCTCAGTTTTGAGACAACACTTTACAAAACTCCACAGAAGTCACAAAAGTGAAATATTCATAGGAAGAAGATATAAAGGCACACACTTATTACACATTAAGTTGTAATAAGTATGAATTGGGGCAATTCTTTTTGCTGCTCATCTATAAAACTAGAATCATTGATCAGGCAAATACGGTAAACATCATTAGACATTGGGTTAGAGTAGTAACAACAGTCACTGTATAAAATACGTGAATTTCAAATCCTGTGCTACTGTGAGATTAGTAATTTTATTGCCATAAAATGTATGAACTGCTATCCAACTTTTTGTATGTTCAGCATCTGAAGTCTAGTTGACAGTGCATGGTAGAAAGATGGAATTCRGGGAGCACTCCCGGAGATTATTCCTGCCATTTTCATCTGTGCTGACATTCTTACTGATMAGGATGAAATTCACAGAGAAATCACAGTAAAATGAAACATGCAATAAACTTGTTAAAATCCAACTAGACTTTAAGCTGATATAAAGAGATGTCCTGACACTCTATAAATCYCTTTGACACCTGTTACTAACACTGTGAAAGAATTTTTCCCAAGGAATATTTTAATTTGCAGCTAATTTTAGACTCATGTTTACGTTATAATAGAACTAATGTTTCTGTCTTGACAACTTTATTGTTTATGGCTAAAAAGAATCATGCAGGATTTCTCAAGGGAAAACAAAAGCTAAACTTGAGCAAAAGGCATGCAAACAAGAGTCAAATGACTTGATAAGAAACTGCAGAAAACTGAARGCTACAAACCCTTCACAGGCAAAAGGAAAAGGAGATGGAGAAAGAAGCAAACTGTAGCTGGGGATGGGGGCGGGGGGGTGAAATAAAAAATAGAGTGTATTGAAGAGTATATTGAATAGATTGTCAGGAAACAAGTCTGTGTACAAGATGCAAGTTTAATTGTCTGGCAGATACTTCTCCAGGACCAGATACATGGCAAGCTTTTCTAATTCACTGGAATTCCCATTCAAATCCACTTTTCCCTTTACTTTCATGTTGGAGAAAGGAAAATTAAAGTGCAGTAAGAGATATAGAACGGTGCTTTCTGTTTTCTTAATTTAGCTGTACACACATAGCCTGTTAATCAGGTCAGGATGATTAACTTCTTGTTCATTGAGTACCAGGCTTGAATTATTTGGCAACACTGCTTTGAACGTTCAACTGATATGAAGCTTATCCAGGTTCRCTACCAACAGGTCTGAGAACAGGTATTACACAGAAAGGTCAGAGATAATCATACCTTCCTCCTGATTCAGGAAACAAGCATTTTGCTAGGGGTTATTATTTTTATTTTTTTAAATCACTGGCCTGTCTTGTCTGCTATTTCATTACAATAATGGCTATCACATCCTCATGGAAGTCCAAAAATAAGAACTGAGAATAAATATGATTTAAAGAAATACAGCTAAACATCTCAGCAGTCYCTTCACTTTTTATTCTGCAACATCCTATATCACTTGGACATAAGCTCATACTCAAAAACATCCCTGCACAGGTAAACACTACAGAACATGCTTAAAAATTATGAAGGACGTAAGATGAAATAGTATCACCATAACCCCCAACTGTAAGCAGCATCTTCTGAACACATCAATGAGTGCCCTCTCTGGATCTTCCAAGAGGTAAAAATGCAAAGATCACATRAAAAATTACTGACATTATTGCCTAAAAGTCTACATTAAGCTCCAGATAACGTCAATTCAACAAAATGTAGCTGCTTACAGTGAACAAGAATGGTCTTAAATCAATATTCTGTTAAATACTTCCTGCACTCTTAGCCATTAATTGCCCCACAATARCACAAATTACATTTTAACTGCATGTATACCAGTAACAAAGCCTGTGTCGACTTTATAATTGATTCATTTTCAGCAACTTGCATTTTTTCCCCCTATTCCTGTCCATATATATTCAAAACATGAAGAGATAAGACTTGCATTGCCAGGATGGAGTTGCGTACCATCACATACAATTCAGAGGCTGTCTTTTCACTACCAAGAGAGAAGTTTTCCTTAAAGGTGCTTAAGCCCAACACAACTACTCAGCCTGTGATTCCTCTCTCTAGTGAGAGATGTTCTGAGAAAGTGACAGTTCTGTTGCATAACATGATGTGTTACCTTCAGTTCCCATTTATCTCATGGATGTAATTGAATGAAAATGCTATCTGACACACTCTTTCTGATCAAGAGACTGATTTAATGGCATTTTATAGCTAGCTTTTGTAGACAAAGCAGTAAAAGGATGAAAGGATCAAATCCCATCACTGTAAGTGCCAGACATCTAACTAAAATCTACCAAGACCGTAAGATACTTTTGTGACACATTACTATTTTAGAACTAAAGGACAAAAAGCACAGTTAAATCAACTTTGCCTTTAGATAAATAAAGCAGAACATAGTATCTCTCTATTAAAAGACTAGCATTTCAGGTTTGAAAATCATCCAAGAATACATATACTAAAGGGCTTTCCATCTAAGTAGTCACTGGACTGATTTTCACAACTACAGAAGTCACAGGATGTGCATACAATGTGCTACTCGTTGAGATAAGCTTTAGGAGAAACATCTCCAGCTGTTTTCRTCATTGCCCCACAAGGGACAGAAGTCACACGGTTTTAATACAGGGTACACCTGTAAAATAAAGGCAGTGCCATGATCTTGATTTAAAAATGTCAGGCAGCTTTASAGGTCAACATCCCAGGCAACTTTATATTGACAGTATTTAAAATTCTTTCAGACCAGACAACACTGGACAGACAACACTGTCTCATCCTGAACACTATAAACCTCAAGGCCTGCTGTCCATAACTAGTCTTGACTGTAGATGCTGGAAAATAAGTTATCTAGATGAAATGAAGGGCATATTTGTAGGTTTGCCATGCCAGTGAATAGAAATGTGTAAGAGCTAAGTTATATGATACATTAAAACAGATCAAAATCAGTAAGCAGGTAYACACGTTCTGAAGCCTTACTCAAACTTGGTACAAATTCCACCAGTTATGATGCTTCTAAATGTCAGCCGATACAGACTTTTCAGCTGTAATTAAAAAACCTCAGGACCAGGAATTCTGCTACAYGTCCCTAGTTTAACACCTTAGCTGATAATCTTCAAAGAATTTGGAAACTCCTCCCTAATCTTTTTTTAAGCAGAATTAACACCACAACAAACCTAATAAGCAACTCAGTCATTTCTCCTTCTTCCTTCTGCTTGTAATATTAACRAAAATTACTCACCCCTCTTCATCATCTTGCCACATAGGCTGGAAACAAGAATCCAGAGTTCTCTGATACTGATCTTTCCTCTTAAAACAGGGACATACTTCAGAAACCAGGAGCCTCCTTCTAGAGCTTTATAAACTCCTTMATTTACATCTACCACCTGCAATCATCACTGCAGTTTCCTGATCATTTCACCTAACCAATTCAAAGGCAGAGACCATTTACCCCCTTAATTATTTAAATCTGTACAGGTGCACTGGGTCAGTGGATTTACTCCACATTTCAGCCTTGGATGAGAGAGGCTAATTAGTCTACAGRTGATCAGCAGAGCCCATCATTGCTTCTAGGGAGCACACAGGAATCATTCATTTAGTTTAATTACAGTAGGAAACTTGGTGCTGATGGAAAGTTCTGTTGAAACCTATTAAAAAAAAAAAAAAAAAAAGTCATGTCCTGCCTGTATTTTTGGAGTCAGTTGTGTATTTAGCGCCCTGTGTCACTGTTCATCCTTATACCTCCTTAAAGTTTTGATCAAAATCTTACAGGAAGCCCCTGTTCAGCCTGCAGCCTTTCCCAAGGGGCACACAGAACCACTGACCTCCTAGASTGTCCTTATTGTCATTACCTCTTAAAGCTCACAGGTTTCACAACACATTAGGTCCTTCTGGAGTGGCAGACAAGCTCTACAGGGCTGTTGACACTTTGATGTCACCCACAAACACCCCAGGTTCTGACTGTCAGTGGTTATTTGTTAGAGGTGGCAGTCATCCCATGGCTGTTCCCATGGATGGGATACATGGATGCTCTCCTAAGTCACCTTTCACCTGTACATTCACCATTAGGCTTTCAGAAGAAGAACAGTGGCACCTGCTTCTCACAGAAAGAACACRTTGATTAGGCAATAATGTAAATGCATGTCAATGTTTCTTCACTAGTTGATAGAACAAATTGTTTTAAAAGACAATTTAACATAGGAACATAGATTGCTGTCCCATAGCTTGAAGAAAGACTAGATTCTCATGCCCTGWTTACAGTCAAGAAACTCCTGCTGTACAAAAATGTTCACTGACTTGAATGTGGCTATGAAAATTCTTGATTCAACGGGAAAACCTGAAGTCTGACTTGCTAAGAATCCCCATTTGAATCAATTATTCTTACAGGTAGGCATAAATTACTCGTTGAATTTTGCCAAAAATAACAGTCAGAACTGAAAAAAAATCATTAGTTTCATTTGGAAGAATCTAATCAGCAAGAAGAAAACATCTTACTGTTTGTTTAACTGTAAGATAAATGATGTGATTTTCAATAAGAACACACTCACATCTGATCCTGTCAAAATACTGTAGTATAGATAGAAAACCAATGCCCTTTTGCATACCCTTTGAAAATATTATTTAAATAGTTTCACAAAATTCTACAAGATAGTCTTTCTCCTAAGGACATAGTTCTGGTGAGGGAAAAACAAAGGTACATGGAGATTTCCAAAGTATTATGTGTAATGCCACTTTAGCAATGCATTATTCCTAAGTAATAAATAATTATGCAAACTCAGATTAGATTCCTTGTCTCTATGGCTATTGAATGCATGAACTAAGAAACATAATTTTGTAAAAGAATATTTTCCCTGKCCTCCAAATTTCTCACACAAATGTAGTACTGCTGATTTTTAACTCTTATTTTCCTAAAAATATGACTAAGCACTTTCAAACAGGTGCAAAGAAAGACATATCTGTCACTGTAATGTTCAGGCCAATGCAGAACAAGCAGGCTYTCCAGGAGGATGTCCTCTTGGCTAACTTGTGACTGAATCAACCAGTTTGAAAATATTTGCATTTTGTTCATTTATATACTAGATAGTGCTGTATTTGTAAAAATCAAAGAGGATAATGCAACAGGCTGCAGTAACAGCTGACATGTTCATAAGTCAGTGTTCTTCTGGTAGCAAGATCCTTGAGGGAAACTCTTACCTTCTTCCATGGTAGCATGGCTAAAAAGCTCAGCCTCTCTTAGGAATGCTCCAAGCCTGAGTCCTTCTTGCCCTCCTCGGAGCAGGATAACGGGCACCTCTGCCCAGTGCTATCACAGGGGAGGTGACAGAGCAATCTCTGACTTGGTGACCTCTTCGTGTGCCCCAGCTGAAAGGGACACAGGCAGATGGGGGGCAAGAGAAATTCAGACCCTGAATCTCTTACGAAGCCCCACCAGATGCACTTCCAAATGTTGTGATTTTTGAAATGCCTTTACAACYGGACAAAATGTTTTCTCCTTCCCTGCTGTCAGAGCACCTCCCTGCGCCCACTGACCTCAATGCCTGACTCTTCCCTAGCAAATGGCATACACCAAAGGGTCTTTAATTTCTGCAGTGCCTGCACTAACAAGCAGCACCAGAAGCAAGGATGACAGAATATGTACTTCACTTATGAGTCACACAGAGTTTCTTTCTCTTTTGACCTTCAAACTCCCCATTAAAATTGTTGCTTTTGGCAGAAGCAAAAGCTCTTGATCACAAAATAAGAAGGAGGAGGGAGAGGAGGCTGCAGTGATGAAATGGAAAAAATCAGACATCTGCCCAAAGTTTAGACTGCTGAAAGAATAACATTTCCAAGTTATTTTTCCCACCAGAAATAAGGGAAAGGCCATGATAGCTTTTGAAACCGTGAGCAGCAAGAACAGTGGGGTTTGCAGTAACAAAATAAAACAGAAAATTGCAGAGCTCATATAACACATTTCCACCAGTGTTGTCTTAACTTTGTACAAAGTGTGGAAGAGCTGTCATGCCCTTGGGCAGTCTGAGGGGATGCAGTGATCTTCACAAGGTTACAAAACAAGTCAGCCCGATAACCTTCCTTTATGCCTTCTCCTTTCTCCTCCTCAATGTGCTACCCACCTTTCAGCTGGTTCCTGCTGCAGCCGTGTGTGCACCTCCACCCTAAACCCTTCCCCATACAAGGTGGTCTCCAAGCTCACCAATGCTTCCCTYGGTAGSAGGGCCCTGTGGAATTAAATCCAGGCTCCAGGTAAGGCCTGCACCTGCCCATCTAATCCCAGCACTATCATTTCCTGACTGCATCTGATTCAATGTCAAGAGTCTCAAGGACAATCTTTTAAAGATTATCTTTACCCATCACAGCCCAAACGCAACGCGGGACATGGGCCAATGTCTCATTGTGCTGGTCAGATGATTTTGTATTGATCAAAGGAGAAGTCCTTGTGAAAGAGGAGCAGAAGGAAAGCATGATTTAAAAATATCACTAGTTTTCCATAGCAGTCATTAGCCTGTTCTGCTAATGACCTTTATGGGCGGCTGCAGCCAGCCCGTTCCTTCCTGCTTGTGCCCCGCAGTGCAGACTCACCATGTGTGTGATGAGCTGTGTGCGTGCATGGGCATGGGCGTGTGCACCTGCACCAGGAAGAGCCTCATGCATTTGRCCAGTCTGCAAGGCCATCAGGGCAGAAATCTCTCACTTCCCACTGGTATAAGGCTGGGACAAACTCTTAAAAAGAAAAAAGAAAAAAGCTGCCAGCTATGAAGAAGCAACAGAGGGAACAATTTCAGAAAGGAATGGACCACACAGTCCTTTGAGCCTGAAACTGCCTGAAGTTAAGAGCTCACAGAAGAAGAATAAACTGGTGGTGCTGTAATTGAATTTTTATGGAAATAAACAGGTGGCAGATTTACTATGGCTGCGGGGATAGTAGGGGGTGAAATGCTGCAGCCACATTAACCTGTTTAATTTAACAGCCTCTACACTCCAAGAAAAAAAAGAAAAGATATTGTGTAGTTAGTTCAGTCAGCTGGATGCCTAATGTAAATAACTACAATTACCTTAGTCTGGATGGGAATGGGGCTTTGTGCCAGCTCCGTCTTAGTTGTGACATTCATTAATTAAACCCCAGGAAGTTAAAAAAAACAGAATAAAACTTTTGATGCCGTCAGAAGAATCGAGACCCAGAGGAGGCGCCGCACGTGGCAGCCCGTGCAGGGCTGGCCTGAGCGCTCAGTGCAGGGCCTGCTGCAGCTCAAGGCTCGCGCTGCRGCCCCCGCTGCTCCTGCGCTGTCCGAGAGGGGCCAGGAGGCGGCTTGTCCCACACCATGGCCCACCTAGCTGCAGAAAACGGGTCGGCGTCTAAGGGCAGCCCTCAGCGCTCGAGGAGAACCTGCATCAAACACACACAGGGAATTTAAACCATGGCATATTTATGGTCAAGGTAATTGCAAGGGGAGGGCTGGAAACACTGGGTATAGCTTCATTTCCCTTAACTGCYGATGCAAAACAGAAAGAGGTTGAAGCATGAGTAGAGCTATGTTTGCACGCTGGCACGTAAGAGGTGTATGAAAGAAATGCTGCTATATTATTCAATATTCCAGGGCAGCCCTATAAAACTACGCAGTAAGGGAACAGGGAGGATGCTGTTAGGCACTCACCAGCCAGAACTCAGTTCCAGGACTAAGTCCCCCCATGCAGATAGACTTGAAGAATATGACTTATCTTTAATGGTGCACTATCTTATTGACACATTCCCACTGCACTGCTCTTAGTAAACTGCTGTGAGCCCCCTATACTTTTGGATGTACAGCCATGAGAACACTTCATACATAGTACTCCTTTTAAATGAGGCAAAGTATCTCCGAATGTGCTTCCCCAGCATAACTGCTCCCTTCAAAAAATGGAGTCAAATTCTTTCAGTATGAACTGGTATTGTCCTTGGTTTTAATAAACCTRCAGTAATTTGTGTTACTGAAGATCTGGGCCAAGTGACTATGTAATTAAAGACTGCAGTGCAATTGCTACTCAGTAATATGGCTGAGATTGAGCTTTGGTTTTGTCACTACCTGTCTTCTGAGCAAAATACCGGATCTTTAACATTCTCTCGGTGTTGGTCTTAATGTAATTTTCTAGCTATCTTAAGAACGGAATGATAGAAAACATAAAAATCCCATATCTGAAACATTTAGCAAGACATGACTGGAAAATGCCCACTGACCCATGTCTTATTTGGTTTGTTCTGTGCAATCTATAAGCTGAACACCGAAGAGTCCTTCTTTATTCCCCACTAATCTTCAGTAACTTATTGCCTCTTTCCATTTATTTATGGACAACAAACCCCTGCATTCCCCTCTGAACATTAAGCAGTTGCTACTCCACTTACTG